CCCCCCCACCCCCCCTCCCAACCCCCTCACCTCTTCTCCGGATACGAAAAAATGAAGAAATGCACATGGCCTGATACGCGCGTGTGGGCTTAGGGTTTTAGGGTCTAGGGCTGAATTTCCCGGCTGCTTGCAAGAGTCCTGGATGCAAAAGGGTCTAGGGTAATATAGGGAATATCCTTTACGGCTTGAGGAGTTGAGGGTTTAGGGGTTTGGGTTTAGGGTAATATTGGGATAGTCCTAAGACAGGATCCTGTTGTACTACATAGGATCCATAGTTTCTGCTTTTATCCCTTATTGGCTTTACAAAAGACGTCCAGCAAGGGAAGTCTAGACTCGGGAATGGCGAGCATCAATGACCAAGAAGACGACGCCCGAAATGCACGGTTTAGGGTTAAGGGTTTAGATGCTTCGTACGTATATCGCCGGGGCACTTGTGCCATAGTCGCAATTCCGAATATGGCAACCTCACCTTGTACCTTTGGATTCTAGTTCTAAACCCGAGCCTGGCGGTCTGAATCTTGCTTCGCGTGCTCTATATATGCCTTACTTCCTCAAAGTGCCTAAAACCTTAATCCTTAAACGTTGGTGGCGTTTTGTGGGTCCTCCCTGACAGCGTTGGACATGGTCACATGTGCTACTGTCCCCCTGCCTTGGTAAGGCTTTTGCTGAACCAGTATCGCTACAGATCTTGCCTGGCTTGTCCGAGTGTGAGTTTCAAAAAATCCTTAAACCCTGAAGCCCGAAACCCTTAACGCTACACCCCAAACCCTTAAACCCTTAAGCCCTAAACCCCTAAACCCTTAAACCCTTAAGCACTAAACCCTAAACCCCTAAACCCTAAACCCCAAACCCTGTGAGTATTCTGGGTTTGTACATTTGATCTTTTCTTCAGATTGAGGCTTTTGGGGCTTGGTTATAGGAGAGAAGAGTTGGGGTCTGGTTTAGTGGAAAACGCGGCAACGCAGCCAAGGGAACAAAAACAGGCAAGTGAGCCAAGGAGACGGAGCTGCTGTACAACTACGAAAGGGGCCTAAATAATTACCTATACCATTTTGGAGGTTCCTTATTATAATTATAGTATAATCTACCCCACAGCCCTATTCTAACTATTAAGACCCCTACACTAGTCAGCAAGTTACCGTTCTCGGTGCAAAGCTCTGGCGGAGATCTTTAGCTGGTCGAGCGCTGAAGCCCTACATGCACGGCTTGGGTTTTTTCGGGTTTAGGGTTTAGCTGACAGACAAGATCACATGGGTAGTTCTCTACATGAGGGTCCACGTTTAGGTCCCCAAAATAGTACGGCACCCTTCTAAAAAGGACCCTAAAAGGAACCCCAGTTTAGAGAACTACCCACATGCAGGATGGATGGAACCCCTCGTGAAGCAGACACTGCGATTCTTCCTGTTGGTATGTCTGACCTCCAGAACCGTATCAAACAGCAGAAAGCCTTATTCTAATTGTTAAGGCCCCTACATTGGGCCTCTAGACCTCCGCGCCTGGGTTTTATTTTTCAACAAGGGCTGGCCCGGCGGCTGGTTAAGTTAAGGGCTTATAAGGTTTAGGGGTTAGGGGTTTAGGGTTTAGGAAGTTTGAAAATGTCGTGTTCGAAGAGTTGCAAGCATGAATGCTTGATTTAGGTGTGTCTCGCTGTTTGCATGGTAGGGCAAGGATGCGAGTGAAATAGTAGGGCAAGGATGCTAGTGAATGAACTGTATCACGCCGACCTGCGACTAAGAAAACCTCGCCTGGCTTGTCCAAATTGCGAGAGCGTAAACCCTAGGCATATTTCATGTTTAACAAAAAATCTGGGACTCAACACCAATATCCTCGCCTGCGTGTCCGAGCGCGAGCGCCGCAACCCTAAGCCCTAAACCCCACCCAAACCCCTAAACCCTGAACCCCGAACCGTAAACCCACCACCCGAAAACCTGAACCCTAAACCCTAAACCCTAAAAAGTTGAGCCTGAAGCAGCCGCAAGGTACAGCAATCTGGGGACAAAGCTGATGGCTTTCATCGGGCGGCCTTTCCGCATGTCATACTGGTACCTCAACCACCAAAAAAGTCCCTTTGTTCATCTTTTTTTACAGGGAATCAGAAGGAACCCTGCAAAAATTAGGCTATGTAGACTTCAGGTTGGGGGAATTCGGGAGACTTCGCACTTGCATATGGCTAGTTGAAGGGTTGCAGGATGTGATGTTTGGAAGGTGACTGTGTAAATGGCGGAACGGCATAACGCTTGAAGGAAGAAGAATGATTTTGAAGGCGAATCAAGCAAAGGCATTTTGGCCGTGCTGGGTCAACATGCACCTATACAGATTGATAGCTCGATAGATAGATGGATAGATGGATAGATAGATAGAGAGATAGAGAGATAGGTAGATGTGTATATACGTCTATACTGATATTATATGAGAGACGAAAGCCTCCTGTGCTCCTTTGTCGCTTGTTCTTGATTTGTGAAGCGTCTCTACTATTCTGGGTTCCTGCTAAAAGACTCTAAACTTAAGCCACCATAGCAGAGATCTACCGTAGCAAAAATAAAAATATGGTTTCTGTATTATTATGGTAACTTAGATTGAACCCCTTCAGAGGAACCCAGTCTTCGATGGAAGGCTTAGCACTTCCGGGCTTCAGCTGAAGCGCCTTGGGTTTTACGCATACTTGGAGGGTCGGGAGACTTA